AGGCAGGTGGATCTCTGTGAGTTCAAGGCCAGCCTGGTCTATATAGTGAGTTCCAGGACATATGGGGCTACAGAGAGACCCTGTCTCAAAAAGACAAAAAAAAATTATTTTTAAAAAAATTGGATGAGAGCTGGGTGTGATGGCGCAGGCCTTTAATACCAGCACTTGGGAGGCAGAGGCAGGTGCGTCTCTGTGAGTTCAAGGCCAGCCTAGTGTACATAGTGAGTTCAAGGCCAGCTGGGGCTATAAGGAGACCCTGTGTCAAAAAGAATGAAAAAAAAAAAAATTGGACTGGAGAGCAGCTCAGTCCATAATGTGCTTACCACACATGCATGAGGACCCAAGTTCAATCCCAGGAATCCACCTAAAAGCCAGGCACAGTAGCATGCCTTTGTAATCCCAGCACTGGGAAGGTGGAGGTGAGAAGGTCACTGGTTCTTGCTGATGAGCCAGCCTAGCCTTAGCAGCGAGCCCTAGGTCCCAGTGAGGTACATGGCTCTTAAGTTGACCTCTACCCCCCCACACACATACACATGTACCAGCACAGACGTGTACACACACCCATAGACTACACACTAAATAATAGAAAACCATTACCTTAACCTGAAGGACATAGCATAAAAATGTCATGGAGCTGAGGAGGGTCTCAGTAAATCTGAGGGCTGTGTCTATGAATGAGATACTTGCACTCACACACACGGTGCTGGTCCTAGACCTGCCCAGAGCCCTCCTGAGCATGTCCCACAAATGCCCTTGCCCTCGTGTTTCCTACCTCTTCAGTGAGGGGATGGAATAGTTAATGCCTAACATTCAGTGGCATGGTCCTGTCAGGCAGCCCATCAGGTCTGCTTTGTGCCAACTGGGTAGATGGGATGGACAGTGTACATGGTATTGTTTTAGATCTACGGTAACAAAATTGTTCTTGGTACTGCTCTGTCAGAATTTCAGATGAATTCATGTTGAGGTGGTAGCCACCCTTCATTGAGTTCTCCGTTTGGTGAGTCCAACATGCCACCTTACCGTGCTTTAAAGGCTGCCCTTTACACTGGAAGCAACAAGACTCCAGACCATTAAAACTGACCAAAGTTAAGCTCAGGTTCTATTTTCTTTTTTAATTTTTTTTT